GTGGTCTGTTAAAATAGTTGGTGAACAAGTGACCATACCAATAGGTACTGCAGAGTGTGATGCAGCCCTATAGTGATGCTGGGAGAACACAGATAAAATCAGCAGGCATTTGTCCCAAAGACAAAAGTGGAGCATTCCATTTTCTGTTTTCAGTGGAAAAAGCAGCAGTCATACTTCAGTATTTCCTGCATTAGAGGGGAGAAGTGTGAGATTAAGGCAAGCAGCCATTCCACCACAAAAAAAAAAAAAGTGTTGGTTTGTATTTATGTATGCATACATACGCACCATCTCGGTGTAGATTATCCAGTTCTGAAACAAATCAAGAACTGCCAACCTCTGACTCTTCCCCTTCCCACAGAGCAATTCAAAGCACCCCTTCTATCTGTACTCACTTCCATAATGATAGATATTGCTAATGTTGTAAATTAAACGTACATATCTCACTGAAAAGCCCCACCTTTCAGTAGTTTGTCTTGTAACACAGAGAATGCCAACTGATCTGTCTCAGTTGCTGGGCTGAAACTTGGATGAAAAATACATCTGTTGACTTCAGGATAATGGCAGTGACTTCAGGCTGGCATTAGAAAGTTATTTCTGTGGCATACGTAACTTGGAATGTAAGTGTTAACGAAAGAACAATGCAGAGGGCAGATTCCTGATCATACCTCTGAAATTACAGCATTTGCTCACTGCAGCTGGGTGTCAAGAGAGAATATCTTAATGCAGAGTCACATAAGTATGCATATATAAGAACATTGCCAAATATAAGAAAATACCAAGCTCTGTAGCCTTGAGTGGCTGCACACCAGATGTTAGAAAGTCACTCAAAAGAATAGTCACTCCGGATGACATACTTGTTTTGCCATGTCTTTTGATTGCAGTATGTTCGTATCAGGTATGACAATTATCTTGATAGTACTTTGTTCTAATAAATACTTTTAAAAATTACTAGGAGCCATACATGGAAGGGGTAAATCCATTCATCAAGAGCAACAAGCATCGCATGATCATGTTCTTGGATGAACTTGGGGTAAGTAATTAAACAGATCTCTATTGGAAGTTACATAGCAGCATATTTTAAAAACCAAGATTAAAAAAAAATGTGCCCAGCTTCCTGAACAGATCTCTTATAAGTGATGTAGGAGACATATCAGAATATTTGTTTAAAATAGGAGTGTGGCATTCAGGTATGTTGCCATATGTCACTTGCCTATTATGATCCATCAATTTGTGCTAAATGACAGATTTTGTAGGAGGTTTCTGAACGCTGCTGGTTTGAAAACAACGGGTGGATTAATCTATGATTTTAATTACCACATTATTGTTTTATGACCAGTGTAATGTGTTACTTGATAGCTCCAGCATTTCTACTTCTCTTGCTAGATGGAAAAAAAGCATTCCCCTTAATTGAGGGGAAGGTGACGAGTAGTGGCTTTCTGGTCAGTTCAGTCATAGATCAATACCAGATCTGTTAGTAAGAATCCTGGGAGGAGCAGGTACAGAACTATGCTCGTAAAACACTTGTGGAGAGGAGGAAATAATTCATCATAGTAAGATGGCCTTGAGGCTTAGCTGGGCAGACTAACATTCAACTTGTTTGGGGTATAAAACACTTGTGTTGGCAGAGCTGTAACTGACCTTCCTGTGTGCCCCAGTACTCGGCATCCTAAATCTGCTCTTTTCTGTTGAAGAATGTTCCTGAGCTTCCAGACACCACGGAGCACTCTAGAACTGACCTGTCCCGGGATCTGGCGGCGCTGCACGAGATCTGCGTGGCACACTCAGATGAGCTCCGGACACTCAGTAATGAGCGAGGGGTGATGCAGGTGAGCAGTGGGTTAACAGACAAGCCACAGGTACAGACACAGGTGTGTCCTGAGTTGCTCCCCAAGACCAGCTGCTTTTGTAGTATTTCTGTCTACCAGTGTGGCGGGGAATCATTTTCACATCAGTGCCTTTCACCCGGAGGCTGTTAGATGTAGAGGAAAATATTTAGTCTGTAGCTTTGTTTCTTCATGCAACAAAATCAAAGAGGTTTTTGTAGAGCTTCCAGAGGAAGTTTTAGTTCCTAGAGGAAGCCTAAACCCCAAAAATTAGTCTTCTGCCAGGCTCCCCGTGTCATCTGGTTTAGGATCTTGGTTTTTTTTTTCATTTGAGAAATGTACTTTTGTCAGCTTCCTACATACCTCACTTCTGCTTCCTAATTTTCCAGTACATTAGTGAACAAACACAGAAGGCTCTAGTAGCACATCCCAGTGGTGTATCAGCAGCACACGTGGGCAGCCTTCCTGTTAAACCACAAAGCAGCAACAGCATCCATGGGTGCAGAGGCAAAGGTCATCACAAGGTTTTAGACTTCCCTTTTGAAAGTAATGTCTTACTGACTAGGGCATCAGCTGCTTCCTTTTTTTAAAAAAATACATTTCAAACTCCCTCACAGCAGGTCTGATAGGCTAATGTTGAAAGTGCTTCTGAAGCAAGACTGTTTTGTTTCCAGTGGCTAATGTATGGTTTTACTGACTCTCCCTACAGCATGTTCTTAAGAAACTTTTGGCTATTACTGAACTGCTTCAACAAAAACAAAACCAGTATTCAGTGTCTAACAGCATCAGGTAGCAGCCCTCTACCTGAATTCTGCATGGATCCAGCATGCCCAACATGGCGACTCACACCAGTATCACTTTCTTCTTGCTCTTGCCAAAAATAGCACACCCTGCCACATTCCCAGCGGTGTGTGAACTATGCAAAAAGAAAACAAAGATCCTGTTGGTGAATGATTGTACCAGCAGCTTTTTAAGCTATCTGTGCAGAACATTTGCACTTTTTTTCCACTTGGAAACAGTTTTCACAACCTCTGAGCCTTGGTGTACAGTTCACCTTCTGCAAAGAAAATGCTGTGACTGTGTCTTGAACTTTGAAAATTTTCAGCACCGCTGATTGCCAAAGTTTTGCTGTCTCGTTGGAAAAGAATTATCAACTGACATGAAAAGAAATGTCTTGTTCTGACAGCCACGTATAACTGGATAACATTTCTTACTGTAATTTCTGACTGGTTACAATAATTATGACTTCTGACTGTTTCAACCATTTTAACTTGTATTTACAGTTTCCAGAATTTGATGTTATGGTAGGAACAATCTTTACTGTACACTTTTTTTATACCATGCTGTTTCTCTTGCTGGAATCATGTTGAAAGAGAATATGCAGAATGGGTCTTGTCAGCTTTATTTTTTGATGTGCCACTGATTCAGTCTGAATAGTTCTTCCATCAAGAACTGTATATCCAGATAAATCACAATGCTTTTGTAAAATGTTTACAACAGTAAATAATTTGAATTCAGTAAATTTATTGATCATTGTATCAGACATGCATGCATTCATTAAACCATTTTATAAAATATGTATTGGTTGGTCTTTTGTGTACTGTAAGTCTAAAAATATTATTTTTATAAGTGAAAAATAAGTTTTTAAAATAAACCAAGCTGCAGATCCACTTCTTCTGGAAACTGGCTAACTTTGGCTGCTGTGGAAGTTTTTTTACAGTGTCTGCACTCATGATGTACCTTGAGATGTTCATGCAGGGTCACTTTTTAGCTTGAATCCTCAGAACAGCATTACCTTGTTCATATGCCTCCACTGGTACCTGTGTCTCTCAGGCTGAGAAAGTACATGTTAAAACTGTTGAAAAAAATTAAAATATGCAGTTGATTGAGAGGGTATTTCAGCATCAGTTAACTAATAAGGCATTAAATGACCCTGAGTTTCCCCAACTGTGTTAACACCATTAGAACAACTCCATTGTATCTTCTGTTGAGTACCATTTCCATTCCCTGTCACACTAAATAGTACAGACTTTTATCTTTGCTGTAACATGAGTGCACATCTGCTGTGTTTGCAGTCGGCTTTTGCTCTGCTTCCCTGGTCTCTCCAGCTGGGACGTCCTTGCAGGGGGTTGCCCAGTGCTGCAGCCAAGAGCTCTCAGGTGTCACAGGTCCTACACACTTAGCAGACAGAGGTGGTGGGTACTCTTAGCACAGACTGCACTGCCGGACCTTGGCACTACTGAGGTCTTTTTTAGATCATCCCATGAAACAGCTGCTTGACCAATCGCTGTAAAGCCTGTCTTTAACTGCTTCTCAAAGGGAAAGCAAATTTGTCAGAAACAGTGGATAAAGTGGATTATTTTGTAGATTTAGTTGGCTGGGTGTAGGTATTGTAACCTGGTAAAAATACAAACTTTGGAGAAGAAATCTGGCTGGCTATTTAGCTATTACATATGAAATGCAGTGATGAGAATGAAAGTGGGAAGTTTGCAGAGTTGCATTCAGGAGTGTGTGTACTGTAGAACTTATTGTCTGAAACAGTGTGAGGAAATAGACTTTAGAGTTGAAGGATGCTTATGTACCTAGGTATGCCTAAGTATTCTCAGTTGCCAACAGGTAAGTTGGTTGCAGCATCCTCATCTGAGATCACAGCTGCAGAGTAAGTCACCAAACTGTTATTATTACTTTCCATACTGTAAAATAGGCTGCTGCAGCCTCTTCATACATTTGAGAAGATCTTCCCAAGTGTATCAGGTGTTACAGGCACAGTTGTATTCCTGCAGCTGCTTCACTGACAAAACTCGAGAAGAGGGGAGCACAGCCCAGGATGGGTCTGCTACCAGATCTGGCTCCTCTTGCATTTATCTTGTTCACAAAATGCCATTTTGTCCTTAGTTACTGCAGTGCTGTAATCCTACACTCAAGTCACATCTCAAACAGCTCCCCAACCAAAACTCCTCCCTGAGTGACAGATTTCATGCAAACATTTCATACTAGAATGGATGAGGATTTAATGGAATTACAACTAATCATTTTAGCCAAATCAAATGCTTTATTGCAAAGATATTAAACACTGACAGAAAAAATACCTCTTGACAGCTGAGTAAGGAACCTGTAGGAGACAGGTTCAGTTGCCACCAAGCAGTAGTTTTTGCAGTGGCAGGATTCCATTCTCGGTTACACTGAATCCACAAGATCATCATCAGTCCACTCTTCCTAAGGGAGGGGAAAAAAGCAGCGTGTGAGCTCAGGGTGTTCTACAGGAAGGTGGGCCAGGCGATCCGCAACTGGGGGGGCACGGTAACTGCTGCACCTGCTGTCACAGCAACTGCCACACAGGCCAGTTAAACAGAATTTAAGAACCACAGGTAACTTCTCCCACCTCTGAACTGGGTCTGCTATCAGTAATAGATTTAAATAGCAAGTTTAAACTCATTTTAAAGGTGTAGCGCTTGTCGGTGTTACTCAACAGATGAGCATTTCCGCCAGGACACCTGACCATGCTGATCTTACACACCCCATTCTCCTCCTGACAACCAGACAGCAACTGGCAGCCCTGGCTAACACACTGGGCAAGCTCAAACTGGAATTAAGAATTCATGCAAGGCCTACAGAGAAGTCACTTGACAAAATGCGTATTTGTTAAGTTCCCTTTCAGAATCTCTCTTAAGGTCACAGCCAAGATCTGCTCAACAACATGAAAGGGTATTTCCTTTCCTCATACTCCCTCCAGTCTGGATTTCTGCTGAGAATCCTGCTGCTAAACATGAGCACAGCTAAAGGAGCTGCTCTGTGTATGCCCAGGCCTGCTGTGAGACTCCCAGTAAATTGGGGTATTTCAAAATGTCTCCTGCATGCCCCCCTGAGCAATACTACCCAGTGTGTGCAGTATCTTGTGCAGGGAATAAAACAGAAATTACTTAGTCAAGTAAATATATCAAAGGGAAGATTTTGTTTACATTTATTTTAGCTAATAGAATGCAGGACTGAAAGCTTCCTGGGACCAAGCCCTGCTTCTTGCTTCTGCAAGGATGCCACAATGCTTATCAAGAACACCACCACCCTTCCCCACCAAACCCACACAAAAAAAAGCTATGATCTCTATGGCCAGGATTTAATACCTGTTCGCTATTTGTGAACAGAAGACCAAAGCATATTTTAACTAATTGTGACTGAGCCCTTTAACCTTAAAGGTAGTTATCAATTTGAGTTTCCACCTGTAGAGGTAGAATTTCTCAAGTATTCAGTTCCTGGCCTTCCAAAACCCATTCATCACAATATTCCAGATAGTTTCACACCTATTTGCCCTCAGTGGCATAATGAAATTTCACCTGAATTAAGAACTAATCTTAATGGTTTGCTAAGGTTTCTATGGTTTGTCGGAAGACTTTCTTGTGCTTTACAACAAACATCAGGAAGGATGGCCTGCGTGTTCTTCCCCCTCCCCGCAAAGGACTACAGTATTTAAGAACACTCCCAAGGGTGGTCTGGTATGAACTCTGGCTAATTTAGAAGAAAAAATAGTTGAAAAAAGATTCTGAGTAACAGGTAAGAGTATTGACAGGTGCACAAGTTTGTCTCAGTAGCTGGGATACTTTTGTCTTGGCAGTCAAGAGCGGCAAAACAAGTATTTGTACAGTAGATGTACTGACCTCCTCCATTTTAGGTTTCTTTGCAACACATTCATCATCTTCATAACCTTTCCTCTTCTTCCTAAGCCCCATCCAGAAAAAGAGTGAAATGTTGTGAAATGTTTAGCTGTATTTGTAGGTTAGAACCTGCTTATTTGGCCACAAGGTTAGATTAGGGACATATTTGTCACACAAACTACTGAAGCCTCAACTAGCAACTCACTGGAAGTTCACAGTGAAAATTTCACTAAAGTGAAAAAGGGCAGAAAAAAATTAATCAGGAATTCCTTTGCTATCCACATAAGTCTTAAGAAAACATTAACTCTTTATACCATTCTTGTTTTAATCACATTATTTTTAAAAGCTTTGATTTTCATTACGTATGACATTAAGCAGCAAAACCTTAGATACCTCCTGTGATTCCAGTTCTGTGTTACAAAATGACTGGTATTGCAGCTTGCAGTGCAAATCAGCACAAAAGAATGTATTTACATATTACTGAAAGCAGCATGTTGAGTCTCAGTTCTCAGCTTCCAGTAGACACTCACAAATGAAGCATGTGAACAAACAACCTTGTGTGTAAATGTAGATGCTTTCATTTTCAGTCACTCACACAAATCAGAGAAAGTTCATGTTTCTATAGCAATAACAAAGGCAGATGTTTAATACATCGAAGAGTAAGTATCTACTTACAGGTTTGTATTAAGTGACAGCTCTGAACTGTGACACTTCTCCAACTTCTGTTTCAGAGCAGTCACCTCTTCAGGCCTTGGCAGTTCATACTTCTTTATGAGATTTTTCATGCCTACAGAGGGAACAGCACAACTCTAAGCACATGAAATAATTTCTGCTGTACCTTGTGAATTACACAAGCTCATCAGTCAGTACGGCCAAAAGCACTGTAAACACTTTCAAACAGCTTCTACTAGGAAAAAAACCTACACCAAAAAAAAAAATAAAAATCAGAATGGTACATAAAGAAAAAACACAATGTAAGAAGTTTTGAAGCCCACACCTCTGTAAGGTTTTGAAAGCATCCTGTCTAGTGTTTAAACAGGCTCAAAAGACACTACACCAGGGCACATGCAACACCCTGCAGAAAGCTGGAACAGAATCCTTACATTTGTCAACACAAGCCCTAGACATTCTGAGTATTAACTCTCCCCCAGCTCCCAGACTGCTTGCTTACAGAACTTCCCATCCCACACAGCACTCAAACTTTAGAGGATCAAAGATCACGTATGTTTAGACAACTATCATCTTACAAATGGCGATTAATTCTAAATAACATCAAGGCACAGCAGCAGCTGAACACAAAGAACTACATTGAAACAAGTTGTTAGCATGGTTGCTTCTGGATTTCCTCAAGGTAAATGACGCAGAATCCACATTACTCTTCTTCAAAACACACAGGTATTTCTTTCAGTCAGCACTGTATTTCAGTCTTAGAAAAAGCAAAGATTGGTTTCAGTCTTGTTAAGAATGAAAATTAAACTTGCAGCTACTCTGCAAAAACAAGACTTTTTCTCCTACCATCAGTTATTTGTAAAACTAGTTGTTTACAGATGCTTCATAATTTTCTTTCAATCATTAAAAATCTTTAAGAAAGAGCTGTCTCTGGGCAAAGTTACCTCCCAGAATAATCCAAGTGAAGCATAATTGATCCCAGTGTTCACTTTGGAACTCAGCAATGGAAACCTGAAGACTGATTCTGTTAGCAGGAAGAGAAAGGAAAGAGCATCTTAAGTTTTCTAAATTCAATTTAAATTTCATTGGTAGACCATGGTGACTTCTATAGTGCATTCACTAGTAAAGTCAGCTTACTCTAAGGGCTGGATTTCTCATGTTACCGGTCCCCCATTTTAAATGTGTGTATCAGCTTAAGCATTAAATAACTGATTACTTACTGGAAATTTTGTATCCCAGCCTTTTCATTTAATTAGAGAATCTAAGTTAATAAACAGTGTACTACAGTTCCCATTTTCTTAAGCAAAACCATGCTAGCATTCTTGTTGGTTTATATATGTGTGCGTGTGTGTATGTACATATATACTCTCACACTAGCAAACCTAAACCTCTTCTGAAACATGTTTATACCTGACAAAGAAAAGTGAAGTATAAATCTTGGCATGTCACTCAATATTAGCTTAGAAAAGACAGCCTCTGGTGGTAGACACAGTTATGTGCAGGCTTTTGCCTGAACCTGTAATTTTTAAGTCAGTCACTGAAAAGAGGCATTTCACCCTGAATTAAAGGAAGCATCATCTAGTTACCAAAACAGACTTTCCACTTTTGAGCCAGTTGCTAGCATTTAACTGACTGTAGCACCTAAGCATCAGGCCCTTTGCCTTTTAATCTAATCTGTTTATATCACAGGAAAGTCTCAGCGTTTTCTCCTCTATCCACATGCCAGATAGTTCATTCTACTGCCCATCCCTGAGGTGAAGAAAACCAGTTGAATCACACATTTCTGCTTAAAGCTTCTGTTGTTTGGAAAAAAATATGTTCTTCCTTTAGTGATACTGTTTACTGCCTTTTTCCAAGGTTTACTTACATTTCATGCCATCTAGTAGCTTGGTTAGGGAAGTTCTGTTTTCTTTCAGCATAAGGTTTTCTGCTAAGTAACTGCAAAAAGACATGGAAGAGTACATTCTTCAAGTGTCATAATTACTTGTGGCAGCTACCATTAGTTAATAAAACGTGTAATGTTTATTATTTACAGCTGCTAGAGCTTTATAATTAGACTTGGTAAGAATAATTTGGTTATAAAAGTGCTATAAAATAACGAAAAAGCACATCTGTCATTTGCAAAATTCTTTAAGAATGTGACAAAAGCATTCTCCAGCCCTCCACAAAACTGAAGTTCCAACACTACAGAATTAAACAATTGTAAGTGAGCCTCAGTGAGTTAAGTAAACTTAAGATTCTGTAAAGTGTCACAGTAACATCATGCTATTGCAGTGATGACTGACTGCTGGAAATGAGCAGGCAGGTTGCAAGATGGGACTGCTTTTTGGAAGCTGAAAGCAAATCCTAAATCCTGTCTTGTAAGAGTCTGTGGGTCTCTCCCCTTCCCTCAGATTCAAACTTCCTTTTAGTAAGAACATCACTACATACACACATTACATGGGTAAAACGCCAACACACACAAGCAACAATCCTCACCAAGATCTGTAACAACCAAGTAGTTTTATCCTTTCCCAGGAAGGGCATTTATGGATAAATCACAGAAGTCCAAAGACTCCTCATCAGTTTTGAAACATACTTGAAGAACATACCAGAAGCATTAATGCATGCTTCTACCACTGAAAAACATCTAAAGTAAAACTATTTTATAGAAAGAGCAAATACATGATTTAGAACAAAAAATAAAATATTACTTTTCCATATTAATTCCTGCTCTGGAACCACTAGATAATATGGCAGTGAGAGCTATCTGTGAGGGAGTGAAGAGCAGATACGCATCCGTGAGAGCCACTCGATTGAGGAACTCATCAGCTGTTTTCCTCAAAACTTCAGGATTCTCCAGCATTGGATAGCGAGTCTAGGAAGTAATTATTTAGGAAAGTAAGCAGCTGTTCTTCATCTCAGAACACACACTTCAACAGTATTTTGTAATGCTAAAAATCAGCTGGCTATCTTCTTATTCCAAAACCAATCTAAAGTGCCTTAAAACTTAAAAACAACCCTAAACCTTAAAATCCACAACTAAACCAACTTCCTTTTAGGTGTCTGCATATCACCTTAGAAACTAGATCTGTTAAGATCACAGGCACAAAAGGAAATAAAAAGTTTCTGACACAACCTATGACCTATTTGTATGATGTTAGTACACTGAGTATGTAGCATATATAACAATACTACCTTCAAATCAATCAGAAATCCCTCAAATGGTCTGTATGGATTGTGGACGATAAGATGGAAGTTCAGTTGCTGAATAAGCAGTAGTTCATATTCCAGTATTTGTTCAAGGGCCTTTTCCTGTCCAACAGGGCCTTCTCGCAGATTACCAACAAACTGTGCACTGGACACATTAAACTCATCTACTTTACAGGCCAAAAATGCACATGTGAGCCTTGAGGAGGGAGAAAAAAAAGCAAACAATTGACATTTGGAACATCCATCTTATTGAGAGGTCTGTTCAAAAAACATGTATCTTCAAAACACAACGTTCTGGCTGAACACAGCAAACGTCTCCAAAGGCACACTGAAAGAGACCATACTTTGCCTTTACTTATCTTTAAGCTCAAAGATTTCCCTTCTCGTTTTTCCAGGTCTTTATAAAGATTACACCATAGAAAAGACCCAGATGTGATGATAACTCACATTATTATCCGAGGATGATACTCCATCACTGAGTTGTTGAGGTAAAAGCGTTTGAAATACATGCAGGCTGTTCCCTAAATTTAAAACAGGGAGAGGAAAGTGAGAATAGAAGTAAAAAATGGATTGAGGAAAAAAAAAAATAAATTTCAAATATTACAAAACAGACCAGAAAATTTGCATATGTACTGTAGACATACAGAAGACACTAAGATGCACACAATGCCATGTCATTAAGTATTTCAAAGTCTAACACACTTATGCCTGCAAGAGCCTTAAAAACTGGCAGTGTCATATTTTTTTTACACATGCATCTAGGAAGACAATGCTCAAAAAGTGGTCAGAAATATCTTCCAAAGAAAAATCTGGCGTTTAAATGAAATTTAAAAAACGAAGACTGAAAAAAAATTATCCTGAAAGTTCTGAGTAATCCCAGCTAAGATATCTGATTGTTTAAATAAGCAGATTCCCCAACGCATTGAGCACTTATGCTTCTGTATCTAGGAGCACTTCAGTCTTGCCAATGCCAAGTTTTCAAGCTGATCTGAAAGGAAAGCAGGTGTATTCCAGGAACGTTGCTTGGTGAGTCTGACCCAGCACACACACACTCTCTACAGGGCCCACTTCTGAAAACACAAGGTCTGGCTCCACCACTGCACATCTTTAGGGAAGACACTTTTAACCTCTGCTATTCACTACACCAGCCAGAATAAAGGGAGGACTGACAGGGAACAACGTAGGTGACACATCTTAATGGCTGGGTGGCACAAGAAACACACGCCATCCATCCCCTGCTTCAGCACCTTGCTCTGAAACACAAACTTCTGGGTCAGTCAGCTCAAAGACTTGTTTCTTTACTTCCTTGGCAGGTCAGTTCCCTGACAGTGCTTGAAGCAGCTTGCTCTGTGCTCAGACCAGCACGGCAGCGTGAGGAACAGCTGGGACTGCCCCTCTTGGCCACGCTAAGGCCGTTATCACCAACACATACCCCTCGGGCCCAACTCACCGCCACGGATCTCGGCATGGCGGGCTTGAAGACGCCGCAGAAATCCAGCAGCCGCTTCTCGT